TTAAATGCACTTTTAAAAGTATCATGAAGCGCAACGATGAACTGTTAGGTAATTTATTTAATTTTTTATAAATTTATTACTAAATAGATATGAGGGAACCTCCAAAAGCATTCTAATCTATTTGCTTTAGTCAACAAAAGATGCTTTTTAGTGATAAAAAATTTATACACATACAGAGCTTAATCACAATAGTTTTTGTAATTCAAACGAACTTGAAATTTCAAACTATTATTTGAGATAATTTTCTCTTTAATTAATTTAATAATTCATCTAAGTGTTCTCTTTCACAACTTCTTCTAAGAAAAATTTCCTAGGAAGTGGTTCCGGATTTCTGTGACGTCCAAAAACGTGAACTTTATAAATGAAATATTCCATGTAATAAAGATTTAAGTCACTAAATCCTTGAACAGCGATAAGACGATCGGAACAACAATCTTCCCCTTGTTTCAGCTTGTGCCAATACCAATTGTCATATTCATTAAACTTTTCAGGAAACAAAGCGTTCTCAGGGCTACTTTCGAAGAATCTTCCACGACCAAGTTCATCAACACCATCGATTTTGATTGTGTTTATACGCGATAAACAATTTGCAATTCCCTTATCAGCATTTCCGGACCTTCCACATAAAGCAGGGTTTGTGAATGCGTCTTCAAGAAGCTTCACAAAGGATCGTTTTGACATCACATAATCGCCAATCATGTAATCCTTTAACAACAATGATTTTAGTTACATATTAATTATTTTAAACATTCAAAGCACCTCTGCAAGAAAACGCATTCCAATAAACAAAGGCCAATCATTGTTGTACTGATAAAGCATGTGCCTTAAGTTCTCAAGAATGATGAATGAATGTTCTGTAGTTTTGAGCACCCAGTCAAAGTCATGAAGATGATTCGTGTAAATATATTTATAAGCAGCTCGTGTTCTTTCCATTTCATCAGATTCCTCAAGTACGATGTGATTGTCATTGAACGGTTCTAATTATTATTATGAATCAATTAATTTCAATTGTCATGATAAAAGTTTAAGCTTACATACGTCCACCTCGTTCAGTGAAAAATAGAAGCAAGTTGCATCGTTTTCCCCAAGTATTTAATATAATCTCGCCGGAACTATTAACTGCTCGATAATTAGTCATGACAGCACAAAGTACTCGAACTTCTTTCCTAAGAAATTCCACTAAATTTGTCGTATCTAAAGTGTCCACATTATTCTCATTTTTACTATGAAATGCAATAAAGATTAGATAAAAATATTTTTGGGGTATTCAATTTGTTTCATTCACACCTTGAAAGTGCTTCGTATAAAAAAAAATTTTCATCATTATTCTCTTTTATGATGCCACTGTAAGCAACAAGAAAAGAAAACACAAATCCTAACGCTACGCCACAAAATAAAGCATTTGCTGCCCGAGATTTGGGAACTTTCGTTCTTTTAGATACTAAATTGAAGAGTTTAATTAGATAATCATTAATGCATTTAAAAGGCGTTTAAAATAATCAACAAACCTTTTCTCTTTTCATCATTAACTTTATAAGGATGAATTAAAAGTTTCTCATCTTCCATGCTATGGTATAAATTTATTAAACTTCCCGTTTAATCAGTTGTTGATGTTGTATGTGCTAACTTCAATAACCAACTAAATGCCTTCATATCTACACGCTTAACACAAATAAATGTCGAGCTGAAAATGAGGAAAAATGTTTGTGAGAAAAGTGAGAATGATCGGTAGAGAGAATAAAAATGTTGTTGATAATAAAATGTGTGAATATTTAGTGAAAATACAATTAAACTGTGGCTTTCTCTGTTTACTTCTTTCAAAGTAGAGACACTGCTTGTTCAGCTGATATCAGTGTTGATATTCACGTTAATAATTTGACGCAAATTTCATTTCAGATACTCACCGAATTTTTTTTTTGGTGGCCAAGGAAATGGTGAAATTCTTTTCGTTAAGGATTTAATTAGGTACCTTTATCAGATATGATAAACGAAAAGAATGAAATATTAAAAAAAAATGTTTACAAATTATAAGTAACGCACAATCAGATAACAGAAATAGGAAATTTGGTATGTTATGCTTTGTAGCATCAATAATATTGACAGTACAGACAGATTGTCAATTCAGACCTTGTTACTGTTTTATCTATTATGCAATAATTTTCTATTTTAGTTTATCTTTCTATTTAAAATTATTTTCAATCACGCTGCTTGTTTAAAATATTTGTAAATTAATCATTTTGAGTATCTATCTGTATTGATGGTAAACTTTAATTGAAAACTCGAAAGATTAATTGAAGTTTCACTATTTAAATACTTACACTTTAAACATCTTGAACTTCTCTTGACGGAAGTGTTGAGTGCAGCATCTCGCCGTTATTTATTTCATTTATCCAAACAATGTGGAAGTCAACAAACATTATATAAATCAAAAGGGCCACGAAACAAAGAACTATCGTTAAAGCTATCACATTTGACTTAAAGTTACTTCTTTTAATTCCAAATAATCGATATTCACCCGTAGAGCTTGACATCGCGGTGTTAACTGAAAGAGAAATTTCAACATTTCTTCATAAGATCTGAAACTTGTTTTACACATTTTAATGTTGCATACTATCGAAGTAATTTTGTATTTATTCACTGTTAAAAAATACATTTCTGTAAATAATTTTTGTAATTTAATCATTCAATAAGCAATTCATATTTATGACGAAGTTTAATGGTCAGTTCATGACAATCTTGATCAGTAGGAATGTTGAGCTTTTTTGTGATTTTCTTCTCATCCATTAACATAATCCAATTTGACTTTAAAGCTTCTTCAGCTGTGATTCGATTTTTTGGGTTTAAGCACAACATTTTATCAAGTAAATCTAATGCTAAAGTTGGAATAATAAATTTAAATGTTTCAGAAAGCTTTCTAATGCACCACTTGGGGTGTAATGCTCCATAACCAGGCAAAAGTTTGACTTCTGGCCATGAATGTTTGGTTGGTGTTCCACACAGATCAAATATTCCTCTAATCATTCCGATCTCAGTATTGAAAGTGAAAACAGGTTTACGTTGAAAAAGTTCACCGAAGATGCAACCCAAACTCCACATATCAACTGATCGATTGTACTTTTCTTCTCCCAACAACAGTTCAATTGGACGATACCACAATGAGATGACTTTGTTTGTAAATGGTCGCTCTGCTTGCCAATGACGTCCAAGTCCAAAGTCAGCAATTTTCACAACACCTTCATTGCTCACCAAAATGTTTGAAACTTTCAAATCGCGATGAAGAATATTTTCACAATGACAATGATGAATTCCTTCTAAAATTTGTTTGAATATTTGATAAATTGCAATCTCGTCAAACACCATCGATTGATTATCCAAAAGTCCCATCAAATCATGATTAACATACTCAAACACTAAATATGTTCCTTGATGTTTTGAATTCATCGAATCATTATGAATAATTTCAAGAAGATTTACAATGTTTTTATGTTTAAGCTTTCGAAGAATGTTTATCTCGCGAAGAACTGTAATCGGAAATCCATCGTACTCCTTCTCCATTCGCACATATTTCAAAGCAACAAGATTTAATGTAAGCGAGTCAACTGCCTTGAACACTTTTCCATAAGTTCCTTCGCCAATTTTCTCAAGAATATTGAAGCTGCTAAGATTTCGTTCACAAAACAATTCATGTTGTTGACAATTTCGATTGATAATTTGAGGACGAGCAATTTTCGAGGATGACATGCATTTAGAATTATTATTAAAACTTTGAATTGGTGACACAATCATTGGATTAGAATACAAATGATCACAAATCTCTTTGTAATGTGTTTCGCGATGTTTAAACTGTTCAGGTCGAAATTCTGGTGTTGTTGAAATTAAATTGTCATCACTTTTATGTTTAATTAATTTCTTCGATTGTCTGTCTTTGGAATGTTGATGGAAAATGGGAGGCATCGGTAGTTCAAGTACTCCAACTTTCTTTTTTCTTTCTGTTTGATGTTCTTCTTTGAATGTTTGCAATATTTCCTCTGAATCGCATTCTTTTGGTCGCTTTACTGGCGGTGTATATGAAGGACTTTTATTGTTATTTAATTTGTCGTAATCGTCACCTGTATTCTTGTTTCCACTCATCTGATGTGTAAAGGATTTCAACTTTTTATCTTTATCAGAATTGTAAGGATTTTTTCTAAGCATTTCACTTATTATTGATGAACTTTTTTCATTAGAATCAGACGAAAACTTCTCAAACTTTGATTGTTTTTTATATTTTCTATGTCCTTTTTTGTGACTATATTTTTTGTAGGGTTCATGATATGAGCTATGATTATTATAGTAGTACGATTGTTCGTAGTTTTGCCGTGTGCTTTGTGTGTCATTATATAAGTTACGTCTCCATTGTTGAATTTGAGGTCCATCTGATCTTTGATTGTTTTCTTTTGAATAATTATAATAAGAATTTGATCTATTATAATTGTCTGTGAAGTTATTCGAAGATGGTCCTAGGAAATATGATATTTATAACTTCGCCATTAACATAAAATTAAATGAATTAAATTATTAACCTGATCTGTTCCAAGAATTTGTACATCTTTTTTCCATCGAGTCTGTTGATCTTTCTCCTCTCGGTGAACTTGAGTTCCTTTTGATATTCCAACGTGACTTTGCATAATAATCATTTGGATGATTTGAATACATTTTTGTTTATCAATCAGCAAGCAACCATGAAATTTCAGAAATCCGTTGTGAAAAAAGATTTTCAAAATTCTGAAAGGGGCTTGCAATCATTAAGAGAAGTTTAAAAGTGTTGCCATAGTCGTAATTTGTGTTGATGTCATTTGACAATTTCAAAAATTTATAAATTGCAGATTTTTTAGATAAACAGTATAAATAACGACATTAAAAAGACACAAATAGCATCGCAATGATCTTTCAAATCTTTTTACTAGATGTGAAAGGAAAAGTACTGATTTCACGTAATTATCGAGGAGAAATCGACAGTAATGTCATTGATAAATTTATGCCACTGCTGATGGAGAAAGGTAAATGAGTCAACTTCTTTTCCACCAATAATTCTAACATATTTTTTCAATTTCTAGAGGAAGAAGGTCTTGTTACACCAATTCTTCAAACACAAGAGTGCACTTTTGCTTATGTGAAGACGAATAATCTCTTCATTGTATCAACTACCAAGAAAAATGCAAACATTGCCTTGGTTTTCACTATGCTCCATAAAATCGTACAAGTGTTCACGGAATACTTTAAGGAACTGGAGGAGGAATCAATTCGCGATAATTTTGTAGTCATTTACGAGCTACTTGATGAGTTAATTGACTTTGGATATCCACAAACGACCGATAGTAAAATTCTTCAAGAATACATCACCCAGGAAGGTCACAAGCTCGAGATTCAACCTCGCATTCCATTAGCTGTTACAAATGCCGTCTCATGGCGTTCTGAAGGAATCAAATATCGAAAAAATGAAGTATTTTTGGATGTTATTGAAAGTGTTAATTTACTCGCAAACGCCAATGGAAATGTTCTTCGTAGTGAAATTGTAGGCGCGATCAAAATGCGAGTTTATCTTTCGGGTATGCCTGAACTTCGTCTTGGATTGAATGATAAAGTGCTTTTTGAGTCAACTGGACGTGGAAAATCGAAATCGATTGAACTTGAAGACGTAAAATTTCATCAATGTGTTCGTTTGTCACGTTTTGAAAACGATCGAACGATTTCCTTCATTCCACCCGGTAAATGCCTTTAAAAACTTTGATTAATAATATTTTGAATAACTTTATTTGTCATTTTAAGATGGTGAATTTGAGCTTATGACGTATCGCAATAGTACGCATATGAAGCCTCTCATTTGGATTGAATCCGTCATTGAGCGTCATGCTCATAGTCGTGTCGAGTATATGATTAAAGCAAAATCCCAATTCAAACGTCGCTCAACAGCTAATAATGTAGAAATTATCATTCCCGTCCCAGCTGATGCTGATTCGCCGAAGTTCAAAACGACAATTGGTAGTGTTAAGTATGCGCCGGAACAAAATGCAATCACCTGGACAATTAAATCGTTTCCTGGTGGTAAAGAATATTTGATGCGAGCTCATTTTGGCTTGCCATCAGTCGAATGTGAAGACAGTGAAGGAAAGCCACCGATTCAAGTGAAGTTTGAGATTCCATACTTCACTACTTCCGGCATTCAGGTGAGATACTTAAAGATTATCGAGAAAAGCGGATATCAAGCGCTACCATGGGTGAGGTACATCACACAAAACGGCGATTATCAGCTTCGAACCAACTAAACTTGTTGTTAATTGTTTCTAACAAGTTTTTTTTTTCTTTTAAACATTTCTAACTATGATCGATGAATTTTTAAAATAAATAATTTATGGAATATTTTATGTTATTTACTCGTCACACGTTTTCAAATTTCTAAACAATGATCGATGTGATGAACTATGAAAATCTTTACTTACATGATGAAGAAGAAAAATTAAATAAATAATGAAATAGAAAATAAATTTTTTTATTTGTTCAAAAAGTTTCCCTTAAAGGTGGGGAATGTTTGGACAATTTTTCCTGTTGTGACCTTCTTGTCTGCACACGCTACATTTACGTCTTCCTCCATTTCCATTGTCATTGATCGTAACATTTTGTTGATTATTTCTTTGTAAAGGAACGTCTGCCCATTGGAAAAACCTGCACAATCTTGATCCACATGTGTAGAAAGGTCGACCAGCGTTAGCGCCTTGTTTTGCAACAAATTTGCTCGCAAGTTTATTGCAGTTGCAATTTAAATTTGGAAGTTTACTTAAATTAACTTTCGGTTGTTGGTTGGCATTTCTGTTGTTGTTATTTCCATTCATTATCGCTCCACCACCTGTCGGTCGATCATCGTCATCATTATTATCATGAAACCATCCACGTCTCTGATTTGAAGAATTTCCTGGATTTGAAAACGTTCCAAAGTCACGTGAAGGTGGAATTTGCGGATTTCTTTGATTTTGATGAACAGCACTTGATGAAGCGCCAACAATTCCACCCAAAACTTTAACATTTTCTGTTGGAATGTTTAAAACACTTCGAAGATGATCATCACAAGCTAAGCAAGTGACGTAAAAAGGCGCTTCGATTCTCGAATAAGCTTGAACTTCATTCATCATTCCAAGCATTGAAATTTGATTAAATTTTAATTTAATTTTCTTTTTCTCACCACGACAATTTGTGCAAATCTCATCAATGCATGAAATTTCTTTAATTCTGCTATCAAACCAAACAGCATTACGACAATTTGGATATCCTTGGCATGATAGGAAATACTCGCTGCTGTCTTTCTTCTGTCGAATGATCATTGAATGATTCTGACATTTCGGACATTTGAAAATTTCTTTTATAACTGGAAATGCTGGGATGGCATCAACATTAGCTTGTTGCGGTTGTTGACCGAATCTCTGTCCAAGTGCTTGATCCAATGATTGAGCATTTCTAGTAATGATTTCATAACATTCTTTATATTTCCGTATCTGTTCAGCAAGAACATCTCTAGGATTCTTCAATCCATTACAAATTGCTTTAAGATCTTCTTCAAGAGCAGCACGAAGTTTCGGTTGTGCAAGTTGAAGTTCCATCAACTCATAACCTTCCACAAGTCCCATTCCGAGTGTGCCAGGAACAAGATGTCCTTGATCTAACTCACCAATGTATCCTCGTTCTTTGATTGTTGAAATATGTTCAGCATGAGTCGCGTCAGTTCCAATTCCATGCTTTTCCATAAGAGCAATTAAATCAGCTTCTGTCAACATTGCTGGCGGATTCGTTTTTCCTTCATGCAAACAAAGTTCGGTTGGAGTGAAAATCTGTCCAAGTTCGTAATGATGAATTTCTTTACCAGTCCAGCGGTCATAAGGATAAACATCAAGATAATTTCTCTCCAAGATTATTAAACCAGTTGCATTGAATTCTTCATTGCCGATGATTGCATTAACGATTGTCTCTGAACCGACAGCATCACGACTAACACAAGCAAGAAAATGTCTCACGATAAGTTCATAAATTCTTTTCTCATCGCCATGTAAAGTCGACACAAATTTAGTTGGATGAATCGGTGGATGGGCTTGATCGGATTTATTACCATTACGAGGATTTGGACCCCATTCGAGTACACGATTTGCAAATTCACCCCATTCAGGATGTGGAACTTGAAGTTCGACAAGCGATCGTAAATTCATTTCTTTTGGAAACATATTCGTCTCCGTTCGAGGGTAACTGATGTAACCTTGCGTGTAAAGCTTCTCTGCAATTGTCATGATTGTTTTAGCTGAAAGTTTTAATTTACGCGATCCAGTCTTCTCTAACTCGATTGTATCCATAGGTTGAGGTCGCCATTTACTTTTTGGTTTCTGTTGAACATTTGTTACTGTTGCTTGACCGTCTGCTTGACATAACATTAAAAAAGCTTCACAACATGATTTATCGAAAAGTCTGTTTCGTGACCAGTTGAATTCAACATTCAGTTGATTGATTTTATGTGACACTGAAAGAATTTTTATCAATGTTGAAGCTAAGGATCAATGAAAATTTAATTTACTTACTTTTTATCTTCCAAAATGGTTTTGGAATGAAATTCTCAATTTCTTTGTATCGTTGAGCTACAAAACCTAATGTAGGAATTTGACATGATCCATAACTAACGAGACTGTCGATATTCGCTGGAAAGACCTTCTGAAGACGTAAAGTTTGAAATCTTGTAAAAGCAGCGCCAATGCGAAGGTCAAGTTCACTTCGAACATTCACAGCGTGATTTATTCGCTCATCAGGTTGAACTAAATTATTCATTGCTCTGAAAATTGACGTTGATGTCATGTCAGAGAATTTTGCTCTTTGAACAGTAATACTTGGCTTCACAAAACGACATACGTCGATGATTTCAAATCCAATATTTTCTCCTTCTCGATCACAATCAGTCCAAATGATGAGTCCGTTGCATGTTCTGATTTCACGTTCGAGTGTTTGTTTGATTTTCTGGTAATTTTCAGGACATGACTTAATAACTGGAGCTTCAAACAACTGTTCTGGATTACAACTTTGCCAATTCTTATATGCACTACTAAATTCATAAGTCAGTAAATGACCGGACACCGATGTAAAAACTATTTTAGCTTTAGAACCACGAAAATCCATTTCAAACTCATAAATTTTGTTGTATGGTGAATATCCTTCTCTCTGTGAAGAAGAATCATGTTAAATATTATATTCTTTTATTAAATTAAAAAAAATCTTACTCTTTGTGAATTACCACGCGAAAGAAATCCAGAAATAGTTTTAGCGGCATCATTTTTTTCGGCAACACATAAATATTTCATTATCTCGACGTTTCTTGCACAACTACTAAACTTTCTTATTTGGATTAAACAGCGAGATAACATCGAAGGATATTTATGTCATCTATTGATGCTGTTATTATGGCAGAAAAGCTTGAAATTAAAAAAGAAATTTAAAATTTTGTTGCTTTAGTTCTCATCTATGTAAACAAAAATTGCAAGTACAGTGGAAGCTCGATTAGCGAAATTCCCTTGAACGTAAAAGCTCGATAAATTTCGACACACTCACATTTTCGAGCAATTTACGTTCGTTGAAAGTACAAGTTCGATGAAAGTATGGCGCCGTAGAGAGCATGAGAGTTTATATCAAAATCACGCTCGTTGAAAGTAAATGAGAAAAAAAAGCAGTTTTGCAGTCTTCAACGCGTTCATCGTGTTTTTTTATAATAACAATATATATTAGAGACGCGTAAAATACAAATGCAGCAAATTCATAGAAAAAAACTTTAAATACAAAAAAAATTTATAATAATAAAAGTGAAAAATACAGCTGAAAGCCGTTCAAATATTGGAGAAAAATGTGTCACAGTTCTTAAGGATGCATATTTTTGATACATATTGAAGTGCATCGCTAGGTTGATAACGAGCTTTTTCATTAACATTTTTGAAAAAGTTCGTTTAGAGAAAAAGCTCGTTGTAAGTGACTCCCTTGGGTGACTAATCGAGCTTCCACTGTAAAGTTTTCTGCCCCTCTGAAACAAATCACATTTAAATCTGAAAAATTCGTTACATTTATAAATTTTATTTAATTCTTTTTATTTCGAGTTTTATGTCTAATCAATAAGTAATGATACTGATAAAACAAAATACAACTGTTGTTTTATAAGGATTATCAATAAATCCAATGTAATTCAGTGAATGAGTTGAGTAGCTGTCAATACATAATTAAATGAGAGCACGTCGATGAACAAAAAACAATTAATAAGCCAATAAATTATCTCTGATGTTTTTTCTTCTTTCTTTCGTTTTTACAAATAGCTTAGTCAATTTTGACAGCAGAATAGATTTTTCTAATGAAGCTGTAAGCACTTATAAAGCCTATCGTTCCTGTTAGAAGGAAGAAAGTGAGAACCATGAGACCTGAAAACGAATCAAAAGTTGAATTATTAATGTAAATGAATAAGTAATAACATACCAGTGTATCCAAAATACAACATTGTGGGAATGAACTCGCTGATTTCGAGTTTGATGAAGAAATAAAAGATGCTATAGAAGAGAATATAAATGGCACTTCCACCAGAGACAATGAAAGATCTCCAATGCCACCGATAGTCTTCACCACATAGTTGAAAGTATGTCATCACAATTGAAAGTTGGCCGCACGAAACGACGAGAATACAAAACACAAGAAATAGAAATCCGAAGAGATAGTAAAACTGATTCTGCCAAATGGCACTGAACACAAAAAATAATTCAATGAAAACAGCTCCAAATGGCAAAATCCCTGCCATTAATGTACACATGATGATGTTCATGTACCATTGTTGCTTAGGAATTTGTCTGGGAATCATGTTTGTTCTTACAGGATGTTGATATCCTTGCTTTCTGTATCCAAAATAATAACCCAGGTAGACAAGTGGTAATGAGATTCCAAACCACAACAACAGAAGTCCAACCATTGTTCCAAACGGCACGGCCCCAGACGATCCACGTCTCCAAATAAAGAAATTTAAAAAGAAACATGTTGTGAAAACGATTCCAGGGAAAAGTGTTGCCGTCAAAAGTGCTGTTCGTTTCCAATCTTTTCCTTTCATTGTCTTGTACAATCGAGCAGAGAAATAACCAGCAATAAGTCCCATGAACACAAAAAGCATAATTGATGCTGTCATTAATGCTCCACGTGATGATGGACTTAACATTCCCAACATAGCAACGAAAATTGTGATGAATGCCATGAAGAATATTTGAATTCCTGTTCCTATGATTGCAGCAAATAATCGAGGATGACGAGGTGAACGAAAAACATCTCCATGGACTAATTTCCATCCTGTTTCTTCAAGAGTATCTTCGAAACTATCATCTGTATTGTATTTGGCAATATCTCTTCGTAATGTTCGTACCATAATCATTGTTAGTATTCCTGATAAAAGAACATTTTAATTTATAAAATATTAGAAAACAAATTAAAAAAATTCACCTGAGAGAAAGAAGACGACAATAAGACTGTTGATGATGCTGAACCAATGAATTTGAACATCATTCATGCCAAGCAAATAATCCCAACGCGAAGCCCATTTTACTTGTGATTCTTTCCATACAACGGAATAAGTAAAAAAGAGCGACGTATGTCCATCACGATTGACACGTTGAGGTTTTGGATTATCAGGAAAATTACATTCTTCACCCTCGAATTTTATTTCAGCTAAATCAACTGAAAGTGTTTCAACTTCAAATCCTACAACCCGATATTGATCTCTGCAAAAGTTTAACGTGATTTTGATCAGAGAACATGCAAATTATTAAATATAAAAAAAATTTCTTACTTGCTATGAGCGTGATACGACAAAACAAACTTCAAATGATTGTTGATGTAGGGATCTCCTTTGCTCACCATTCCAAGACGATAGCCATGTTCATATTGAAGTTCCATTGTATCAGGATTGATGATTCTCGTTGCAACTGGAAGATTGTCAACTAAAAGATGAACAAAATATTCATGTTCTATACGTTCAGCAACTTTCTTTGACTGTTGAATATCCCAATTCAGAGGCGTTGATACAGTATTGCACAGAAGTTTACAATTAACGTCTTCGTCCATTTTCACTTCATATGGAGTATTCACGATCCTGTCGCCTTATAATAAGAAATTATTTAAATGATTAAAAGAGTTTAAATTTTTCATAAAACTTACCACGAAGAACTTCTCCAAGATTTTCTGATTTAAAATGAAGTGTTCCATTTTTTGGTAAACAAAATTGAAGTGAATAATATTCATATGGTAGCTGCGTTCGTGTTGATGTCATCTTTACTGCTTTCACCTCTATAAAATATTAGAAATATTCGATTGTTTGTTTTTCTTGCCAACATCATCATAATAAACTCACCTATTTTACTTCCTCGTGAAAATTCACGTGGTGCAATACCCGGTACATAAAATGCATGACTCGTAGATATTGATAGAACAATTAGTATTAGAAATTTAAATGATTTCATTTAAATTCTTTTTTTTTCGTTCTTGTTTACTATTTTATATTTATGTTAAAGCCCCCTTGGAAAGAGTTTCCAACCCATGTGAAAAATTCACATTTGAATATTTGTTTTTGAACGAGAGCAAAACCGTTAACATTTGTTATAAATTATAACTTATAATTCTTGGAGATTAGGTATTTTCTCGTTATCAAAGTTAAGATAGACAAGAAATTCTTCTCTTTTCGTTTGTTCTACGTTCCACTCTACTTAGATGAAATTTTAGTGATATAAAAAATCAGCGATTTGCTTAGTTATACAAGAAGGCTTTTCATTTTACGGCACTCTCGCTTCACCGCTCGTAAAATTCTACTAAATAAAATTAACTAGGATTTATTAGGTAAATGCATTTAAGAATAATAAATTTAAGTAAAATAATATTATTTTTTTCTTGTAGATGTACTTATAACCCTTTAACTTTTTATCAGTCAAATCGTATAAATCAATGAAACATTAAATTTATGTGATATTCCAAAACATTGATCTGGTCAAATATTTATGGTGTGGAAATTCATGCAATTTGACCAAAACGGAGAGAAAGGGATATGAATATGTATGTTATAAGTATAAGATTATCTGCTTTATATAAACTGAATTGATCATTTATTTTCAGCTTTTATTTTGAATATATAGCATTACGCTGCCTTTTCAAAAAAACCTTTTTAATATAAATAGATAATAAAGATAGTCGTTCTAATAAACATCGAAAGTGGGAATTTGCTTGAGAAAAAATACTTATTGAAGGTTTTAAAACATTTGAATATTTAGAGCATACATATGTGCTCAAAAATATGTTCAGACTCCTATTTCAGAGTATAATCAAGTTTATAAGTCCTTAAAGCAATGAATGTGCAGCAATATCCTCGTTCTTTCACATATTTTACTATTAGATATTACTTAAAAGAACAATTTTAATCACTTTAAATTACCATGAAATTAAACGAATGTCTAAATAAATTGAAATTTCCTTGAAGCATATAAGGGTGATGGTATAGCGTTTTAATGATTTATGAAAGAAATTTGAAAATATTCCTATGGAGGATTTTTCACTTAAAACACCTCATAATTCTTACACAAAAGTTATACATTTAATTAGTTATACGTCTCTTTAAAAAAGTAAATTTTATATCACTGACAACATAATTTTCTTTTAATTCTTGTGTCCACAAAATACGTGACATTGTCTTTTTGAAAAGCTGAAATAAATATCGATTTTTATTGATCTTTTACTTTTAGTTACCAGACATTGTTACAGCTACCTACATATGTACACTCAAAAGATTTTATTGAAAAACTGTAGTGTCTATTGTTAATATGTTTGTTATTGAGCGTTCTATAGACTTTTCCACATCCCTTTTTTAACTCAAGTAGATAACTGCGTGTTTAATCTGTCATCTTTTGCTTTTTATATTGTATTTCTAAATTTATTCATTTTATGAATTATTCCTATAAAAAAACTAGAAGTTCAAATAAAGAATGAAGCAAACGAATATTCCAATGAAGTCATTTTTCATTAAACGGGAAATTCTAAATAGTTTTCCATTCATATTAATACACAAGCAGATAAAGTCAATTTATTCGATTTCGATCATTACCTAAACTTTATTATTTTTTATTGAATGAGTGTTTTTCTCGTACAACAAATTGGTTCCCGACTGAAGAGACATAAAAAAATCAGAAAAATAAAAAAGAAGAAAGAAAACTTTGTCATCCTGCTGGTATCATTGATGATGACACTATTTATGGTGATTGAGATTGTGAGATGTTTATTAAAATAATAAGGCAGACAACAACCTCAGCTTCGACATTGGGCAGAGTTGGACTCGACTGATACATTCGAGCATTGTTTTGATTAAAAGTGAAACATTTTCTGCTGCTTCTTCGCTACTCAACAAATTTACTTTATTTATAAAAAAGAATCTGATTAGATTGATGTAGGGGTGGAACGAGAAAATCATGTTTAATCCACTTCAACTACATAACTTTACTTCGATGTCGACAAATTGCATCCAACCCTATTCGCATCAAGGTGGAATTATTTTTTATTCGAATCTGTTTAATGCAGTGCAGTTTCTTCTTCTTTTTATGATGACAATTTGAGATGCTTTCGCAATTATTATTTGTAGTCACAATTCCCATGAAATTGTTAAACTTTAATTGGCACATCGCAACATTTGAAACGACTAAAGAAATGTGGAATTAAGAATGAACAATCACGCCTTTTGCGAGCTCCTGAGAAGTTAATTGAATTCATTTAAATGACACTTAAATTTATTTAAATGTTTTTCAAGGCACTTTGTTACATCATTAAATTAAAATCCGCTCACAATTCCACCCTAATTGTCAGTAACCACAAAGTCTGATTTAAATTCCCCTCGAAGTGTAACAAAAACCATTTTTTATTGTTCCGCAGACAAGTGAAAATTCAAATGAGATGAGAATGAGCTTGTAAAGAGCTGCGAAGGTCAAGCAGAAAGACTGCAGTTCATCCCTTATCAGCTCGCTTGTGAGTTTTGAGTTCATAAAACAAAAGCGCAGTTAAACTCTTCATGTGTGACTCGAAATGAAACAAAATCCTTTAAAAATTTATATCGTTCTGATGAAGTGCTTTTATTGAATTAATAGTTTAGTTCCGGTACTGGTTGAAATCTTTCACTGCACTCCAAATGGAAACTCATGCGAGAAATATTTTAGGGGTCGGAAAATTGAACACGTTTCTCATCCACTGTGAAGTAAAAAAGAATGAAGAGAATCGAGATTTTTGATCGGATTGTTGATTTATGGCTATTGAATAGTTTCTGAATTAACTTGTTATGAGATACTGAGAGAGATTTATAAAGTTAAATATCTAAGCGAATTTGATAAGCAGAAGGGGTTGCAACCGGTTGATAGGATAAGACAAATGTAATTGGAGTATGAAAGTTTTGTAAATTATCTGAATGGAGAATTCAAATTTCTGCTTTAATATTTACGAAATGCATTTAAAACCAATTGAAGAGTTAAATGCCCAAACATTGTTTTAAACAAAGTTATTCATCAATCAAGAAGTCATGCGAACTTCATGTCACTTCTATTAGAAATGAATTAAATTGCTAAATCCTTCGTTGACTTCATCTGTGAAATTTTCCATTACACATGCGCTTATTTGTCTACTTTTTTTTATGATGAAAACAGATTGTGGGTGTGTTATAAATTATCTATGCTGAGATTGGGGATATAAATTTGAATAAAAACTTTAATTTTAGGTTTTTCATCTAAAATCAATGAATCTTAGAGAAAAAGAAGCAACTAACTAAAAGTTCACAATAAATATTTATGAATGGAACGAAAGTATCTGAAAGATTTCAATGAAAATCAATATTTACGTTTCAGCTATCTTGATCTTATTTCTTGAAACTTACTGATGTATAAGAAGTTAAATGTTGAGAATCAATTAAAAAACTTTCCACATGTTTTCTTAGAGAAGTTCATGGTTAAATCTACTTCGAAACTTTCTACTGCTTACAATAAATTGTTTATTTAAGCATCGATTATGATCAAAGTTTCACAATGACAATAAAAAAATTTAAAAGAAAAACAAATTTATTGACATAAAATATATTTTGGTCATTCACCTTTAAAGTTGTGACAATATAATTCGCTTGACAAACAATTTTTAATTGTAATAATGTCGAAATTGAAAAATTATCATTAATATTATTGAGTTATTAACGTCATGTGTTGTTACTAATGAGCTAAACTATCAATATTTGATCGAATATTTGTAAATGTTGATGATTGCGGTGATAACGATGACCACAACATCAATGCTTGTAAATATTCCAAACACGTTTTCCTTTATGTACACCAGTGATTATTGAGATGTATGTAAGATCTTGTGAACAGGGAAGGGACTTTCTTTTTAAATATTCACGCAACTTTCTTGTGAAAGTTTCACATGAAGCATAGGAAAATCGGATAAGATTAATGTGTGAGAAAGCATGGTCTTATGTCACGATAAATTACCTAATATTATTTTAATTTATAAGCCTACTGAAGACAATTACTTAACCAAAAGATGAGATAAGGAAACAGGAAATAACCTAAAGCTATAACTTTTATTCAATAAATAAATAAAATCGTTCATGAGGGTTTCAATTTCTTCACCTTTAGCGAGGATCAATTACCGGGAAATTCGTAAATTTATTTCAATCGTGACATGTTTTGAAAATAAGGGTAATTATCGCCAATATTTCATTGATTTGAATCAAATTTATTTTCAATCTTTGAGGGTTGCGAAAAGAAATTTGTGTATGTAGACACGAGAGGGTTCGAGAAGTGAAAGATATTTTGCGTGGGTGAAAACGTTTAAGAGAATTTATGTCACAAATAACTTCACAAGATATTTTCTTTATTCAAAGATATCTCCATCCACTCACTTGTAAATTTCCGCGATTCTTTTCCACCCTTCTACAAGATGAACACTTTAAATCTCAAAATCTCATAACAAGTTAATACAGAAACTATTCAATAGCCATAAATCAACAATCCGATCAAAAATCTCGATTCTCTTCATTCTTTTTTTACTTCACAGTGGATGAGAAACGTGTTCAATTTTCCGACCCCTAAAATATTTCTCGCATGAGTTTCCATTTGGAGTGGAGTAAAAGATTTCAACCAGTACCGGAACTAAACCATTAATTCAATAAAAGCACTTCATCAGAACGATATAAATTTTTAAAGGATTTTGTTTCATTTCGAGTCACACATGAAGAGTTTAACTGCGCTTTTGTTTTATGAACTCAAAACTCACAAGCGAGCTGATAAGGGATGAACTGCAGTCTTTCTGCTTGACCTTCGCAGCTCTTTACAAGCTCATTCTCATCTCATTTGAATTTTCACTTGTCTGCTTGTCTGCGGAACAATAAAAAATGGTTTTTGTTACACTTCGAGGGGAATTTAAATCAGACTTTGTGGTTACTGACAATTAGGGTGGAATTGTGAGCGGATTTTAATTTAATGATGTAACAAAGTGCCTTGAAAAACATTTAAATAAATTTAAGTGTCATTTAAATGAATTCAATTAACTTCTCAGGAGCTCGCAAAAGGCGTGATTGTTCATTCTTAATTCCACATTTCTTTAGTCGTTTCAAATGTTGCGATGTGCCAATTAAAGTTTAACAATTTCATGGGAATTGTGACTACAAATAATAATTGCGAAAGCATCTCAAATTGTCATCATAAAAAGAAGAAGAAACTGCACTGCATTAAACAGATTCGAATAAAAAATAATTCCACCTTGATGCGAATAGGGTTGGATGCAATTTGTCGACATCGAAGTAAAGTTATGTAGTTGAAGTGGATTAAACATGATTTTCTCGTTCCACCCCTACATCAATCTAATCAGATTCTTTTTTATAAATAAAGTAAATTTGTTGAGTAGCGAAGAAGCAGCAAAAAATGTTTCACTTTTAATCAAAACAATGCTCGAATGTATCAGTCGAGTGACTCGACTCGAGTCCAACTCTGCCCAATGTCGAAGCTGAGGTTGTTGTCTGCCTTATTATTTTAATAAACATCTCACAATCTCAATCACCATAAATAGTGTCATCATCAATGATACCAGCAGGATGACAAAGTTTTCTTTCTTCTTTTTTATTTTTCTGATTTTTTTATGTCTCTTCAGTCGGGAACCAATTTGTTGTACGAGAAAAACACTCATTCAATAAAAAATAATAAAGTTTAGGTAATGATCGAAATCGAATAAATTGACCTTATCTGCTTGTGTATTAATATGAATGGAGAACTATTTAGAATTTCCTTTTCAATGAAAAATGACTTCATTGGGATATTCGTTTGCTTCATTCTTTATTCTAGTTTTTTATAGGAATAATTCATAAAATGAATAAATTTAGAAATACAATATAAAAAGTAAAAGATGACAGATTAAACACGCAGTTATCTACTTGAGTTAAAAAAGGGATGTGGAAAAGTCTATAGAACGCTCAATAACAAACATATTAACAATAGACACTACAGTTTTTTATTNGAGTAGCGAGAAAGCAGCAAAAAATGTTTCACTTTTAATCAAAACAATGCTCGAATGTATCAGTCGAGTCCAACTCTGCCCAATGTCGAAGCTGAGGTTGTTGTCTGCCTTATTATTTTAATAAACATCTCACAATCTCAATCACCATAAATAGTGTCATCATCAATGATACCAGCAGGATGACAAAGTTTTCTTTCTTCTTTTTTATTTTTCTGATTTTTTTATGTCTCTTCAGTCGGGAACCAATTTGTTGTACGAGAAAAACACTCATTCAATAAAAAATAATAAAGTTTAGGTAATGATCGAAATCGAATAAATTGACCTAAACATTCTCGAGGGATTCCTTAAGGGATGAACTAACCAATGTGGGGTGGAACATTTCTTCCCTTTTCTTCTCAAAAGAAAATAAAAGATTGACGTTGTTAGTGACTAACGTATGAGTAAAAGAAGCATTCTGATGGTGATGCTTTAACGAAAAGTACATTCAGATAAAAAGTATCTAAAGTCAAACTTTAATCTTTGTATGAGCATCTGAAATATTCGCCCGTTTTACGATTTCACTTTGTAGTCGAACGTGTCATAAATTTATTCTTTTGTGTTGTCCGAAAAATGAATTCACAACAGAAATTTATTGACCATAAAACGCAAATGCATATGAGATAAGATTGTGTGAAAGATAAGATTTCGGAAACAAATCATACGTTCGACCCTTAAATAAAAGACGTTCATGTTCGTCATGTGATAATGTTGGATGTTGTCAAGAATAAAGAATAAATTTCATTTTATACAGATTCGTGCAATATGAACTTTCAACCTTATCACTTCCATTTTCGCAGGTTTAAATCAATTTGGTTGAGTCTTGACATTTTAAAATTTGACTAATCTCAAGTTGGAAGGAAACTCAAAAACTACTTCAAGTAGAAATTGCAATTTTATAATGCCAACCTTTTGTACATGTTAAACCCTTTTGTAAACAACAATCTTCCTTCGTTTACCTTCTATTTGTAAATCTGATGTCACTTGAAAGATAATCCAACCAATTTGTCATCATGGAACATGACATTGCGACAAAAGATGCTGATGACATTTTCCCTGCTGAGCGCCAACAACGATCATGTGGATGATAATGGTTGCAATTGTTATTTCAATAATGGTTAGGAAATGGAAAAATAATGAAAAATTTGCAGAAAGTGTTTACTGCTGAAGATAAAAACTCAATAAAAATGTCAACGATATGACTAATCTATTGGTTGCTTGCCAAAAGGATTAAAAACAATGAAAACGATTGACATTCACTTTATTGAGATGAAATTGTTCATTTACATAAATCTTTAGAAAAAATTATTAATCTTAATGTTTGTGCAGTTAAACACTGATTTTATGTCAATTTAATGTTGATAGTCACTTTTAACCAGCAAGGGTGAATTTTTAGGACATCAAGTTAAAGCATTTTGTTTGACCAGCATCAATAACATAAAACATTAATCTATGCAAGATTAGCACAGTGAGGAAAAACTTCCATTTAGTCACGTTTTTCCACTTGTTTAACAATGACCAGAAGCAGGTCAATAATGCAATATTTAAAGAACAAGCAGACAATTTAAAAAGTTAAAGTTAAAGTTGAGGAAACTAAAAAGTTTTGTTGACGAGAAAAGTCGTAAATCACAAGACTTTATGATAAACTAGCGGATAATATTTCGAACTTCATCCCATAAGATTATTAACAAAAGATTTACGACCTTCCCAAAGACATCAATAATCAGCAGATTCAGTCGAGAGTTAAACTTCGATTCGCACAATTACTAAATACAGTCAACATTAACCCCTAAGAGACAGCGAAGTCCGAGCCGTCGAAGGGAAAATTTATCACTTTTATTTCTCTTTCTCGATGGCTAAACGACAGAAATATTTTATTCATTTCACGAAGTTCGTTCAATTTTGGGATGTAACATTTCAATAAGAAAAATAAATAAAACTTTCGGACAATGTTCGACATCTTCTGATATCTTTTGCTTAATAAAGATATCAATTTGCAATTATAATTTTATGTCGCTTCACATTGATGCCTTAGAGGGTCTAATGCAAGTCATTTCATCTGCGTAAATTGGGAATCTTGTAGTGTAATTTTTGGATCATTCCCAATAATGTTTCCAATAGCTTTTTCAAGAATACAAGTTAATTTCTTATGATAATTTAATTACTTGTTGTTGAATAGAAAATCCATTTCCTAATTGCTATGAATTATCCTCAAGTTTTAGAAGGGAAATCGATTGAAATGAAGCGATGAGATTTGCTATCGCTTATCGCTTACCCCATGGAAAGAAATTACTTCGAATAAAAGAAAAGTTTTCTCTAAATTTCCATGAAAATCACGATCAAAAAATTCAGTTGTGCGTTAAACGCGATTTACACAAATTGCTCAAGAAAAAAACTTTTCTTCGATGCATTGTGAAAGTCTTCGTCTGATCAGAACGTAATTTGATTTTGAAAAATCGATTCGAGTTACACTAAAGCGTTTACGTGATTTCTATAATCAAATTCACATGAAAGGCTCAACAAGCGTGAAAATTTACCGCACTGAAATCTGATTTCCCTGATTCGTCACTAACATCATTTGTTTCAAATGACTTAACACAAAGTTTTTGTGAAATTTTCTTGTCTGGAATTGTAAACTGAAACCTTAGAAATTCTTACGTTTGGCAGCAAAGTAAACTGAGTGCCTTTAGTTAAACTTACAAAATCATTTTGAAAAGATTAACAAACAATAATTTAAAAAGTGTTTCCATTGACCTATAAATACTCATTGACTTCAAAGTTAAGCTGAAGGTGCAAAGACATAACTCACAAATCAGTTGAGTCTTTAAACAAATATCGAAAAATTCTTAAAGCGTAATTTTAGACTTGCTGGAAATTTTTCATGCATTGACACATTTTTATGAACCAACAGGTATAATTCTTGAAAATCTATAGTCAGCAGCTTTCAATGACGTTAATATTGAGTCTGTTCTCATATTTAAGATATATCAATTTTGGTTTTTATGAATTGCAAAGTCATCAAGTCTACCAAGAGTCACGAGTCGATTCTTTTTCAAACTCTTAACTTTTCTTCTTTACTTTTTTTTATTCTTCATTCAAATTGGCGTATAATGAAGGAAGTTTTATTGTCCTTTAACATCATGTGATGAAGACATCAGTAAGGAATATGGAACAAAGACAAATAAGAAAAGCCGCAAAACATGTCATCGATAAATTGCTGCCAACCCTATTCACGTAAAATAAAAAAAAATCGTTTTACGACTTTAGTCTTTACGTTTGCTAAGGAAATTATTGGGAGTAGAATAAAATATTTTATCCATTCACATGGAATTTGATTAGATTTTGGAAACTGAGTTGTTTTGTTACATGAAGTTGCAGACATTCATCCAGAAAGTATTTACGATTTCTAGAAAATGAAACTTAAATCCTTCAATTTTATTAACTGAAGATTCTCTTGTTAGCTCAATCTACAAATTCATCATTTCATCATAAAAACGAGTAAAAATATTTATTTTCTAGACATACAAAAAGAAAAACCGCGAAAAGATTGAAAATTTTAAGAGCTCAGAAATTTTCCACGATCATAATCGCATCCGTTGAATGTTTGTTTATAATTATTTTATTGGAAACAAATTAATTAAATTAATGAAATTGTAAAGGTAGTAAATATTTGAATTGAATTAACCCTTTCTTGTAATGCAAACAGTTGAACGAATTTTGGATTTTATGTTAATTTTCTGCAAATACAACGGTAATTATATCATGCAAATTGAGAATAAAGTTTGAAGTTGTTGGATATGCTGGAAATTCATGATTAAATAAATGAACTCATTTGATTGTTCATATCTAATTAACCTTTTTTCTTTTTTGTTTGAATGAGATTGTCTTAAGATTGTTACTCGAAAGATACAACAAACTTATTGCCTTGACTCTTAATAAATTTTATTCAAATTTATCATAATATAGTAAACTACATGACATTATATATTATTAAGAAAATTATTAGCACATTACACTTAACAAGTGATCGATTTTCCTTCATAGACTCAAAAGCACATAAGTAAAGAGAATTCTCTTTATGAATGAAAAATTGATAGTGAAATTTGATGACTTAACACTTCCCACCCACAGCAGTCTGGAAAACGCAACAGCATAGCACAAAAACTGCACATCAATAACAAAATGCTAAATCGAGATATTTTTTCGGCAGCATCAGCTATCCTATCTATAAGCAAAGGAGAAATTTGTTGAGAATCTGAAAATATGTCCTTGAAAACTAGAACAAAAAGACATTTGATTCGATTAATCAAGGTCATTTTGTTACTTAGAGAAAACTTTTTCCATCATTTAGTATTTGGAATAGGATGAAGTTTGATGTTCACTCATAATTTTTCTTTTTAGTTTTGAAAGTTATGTTTCAGATTAACTTTTAGATGCGCCTTTAAAGTCATAAAAAAAACTACTCCCTTCGACATCGCCCCCTTTCATGTCAGTTTTTAATTTATATCGTCAATGTTTTTTATCGCTTTTTTATTATGATAGTGAATGTCCGAACATTTAATTTTGTCTTTTCTTTCTTTCTTTCAAGCAGCAATGCAAACCTCTGAAACTAACAAATTGAATATATTTTTGGCAAGCAGCACATGCCAGAAGGAATATTGACTTATACGATAAAAAACAGCACATTTAGATTAAAAAGACATGATTAAGGGACAAAATTTATCGATATTTATTTATTGCTTTTCCTTTTCTCTCCTCTTTTCGAGCTTTGACGCTCCGTGAAACGAAACAAAAATGCGAAATGTATCGGAAGAAAATTTATTAGGTGAAATTTATTGCCGCATCTTTGTTTGTCATATTGGCTTTCTTATGCGGCTTCAATATGTTACATTCAATTGGAATGACCAGATAGATAGAAACGAGCAGTGATTTTGTAAAGAGAATGAAATCAGCTTCTTTTCATATTCAATTATCGTTGGGAACTTTGTGAAGGTTCATTCGACAGTGTTATCAACAACGACACAATAAAACGTGCCACGTAATTCCTTAAGAGAAATTCAAATTCTTCTTATCATAATTAAGAACTAAACAAAGTATTCAACGTTTTATGTTTCAGAAATTTTAAACTGTCATCTAGAACCCTCGTCTTCTTTTACATAATTATACTTATTTAGCTGAATATTCTGCATAATCATTTCATGACAAGTTCTGAGCCTCTTAAAGAAACATAAATAATTTTCTCGCTGCCCCTGCATGAGAGTTTGTGATCCGTTTAACAATTTTCTTTCTTAATCGAATTTCCTCATTTTTTTCTGCTCTTTCCGCGCCGATTTATTTCGCATTGATTTCATATATGAAATTTTCTACTTATGTTATAGAAGATTGTATAAGAATTCTCAGCCTCAATATCCTCAAAAATATCAATTCTGATTAATCGAGCAGAAAATGTATAAAGCATATGGAATTATATAAGAAATAAATGGGAATGTTTCATAAAGCGGATATTAGAGATATTTGAAAAGATGTCTTAATAAGATAAATTCAATGAAACTTTATTAGAACAACATCCTACAAGCGAGAAGTTTTACTTTATCAAACGAAAAACAATATATTTGTGGCTTCTAATAAATAAAGCTATTAATTTGTTTACGCCAGGGAAAGGAAGACAAAATGTAATTTTTTTCTTCAGATTTATGATATTTAATACATATAAAAATCATAAATAATTCATTAAATGGTTACAAGGAAAACAGAATTAATTGTTCAGTTGCAACATTTTTGAAATTTTCATTGATTGATTCTTTTGACAAAGTTTATCAATAAGAAAATATTTTTCTTACAACTTCATTTCCTTTCAACTTCAAGGATATTTAATTGAAATGCTGTTAATCCGAGGAATCAATTTCAGTTATCAAAAAAGGAACATCTTACATTATAAATTCAAGAAAATCTTCCCCTTAAAAAATTATATTTAAGATTCTTAACAGGACTTAAATCATACTTACGTCAAGTTTAAATTACTTTCTTTGATATTTTAAAAATGAGTTTTAAAAGCATTTTTTGTTATGTTATTAATTCTATAAATATTTCTTCTTTTTTATTATATTTTTTAAAGCAAGTTTTGCAGAAAACATATAAAAAGAAGTTTTGCATTGACAACTCATCAATAATTCGAGCATTTTTCTGTAATAAACCTATGCAATCGAATTTCATGGAATTTTACTTAAAGTTCATTAACCGCTTGCAGTAAGTCACTCTCAGATGAATGTGGTATTTGGCAATTAAAAGGCTATCAAATATATAACAGTTGTAGAAACACATAAAATTCAAACAAAGATATTCACCTATAACGTTAATTTAATCAGTTGAATACAAGCGGAACACTTGATAATGTTTAACAACGCGACGGGATGAATATCCATGAGATGAAATGAGGGTGGAAAATTTACCATGAAGAGGGAAAACCCTTCAAGGGTTTTGTAAACGATTCTTTCTTTTATTTTCAAGCGTTGTTATTAATATGACGTAATTTTCACAAATAAATTCTACCAACTCATTGATAATAAATAAATTTCAAGAATGGAAAAATGTTCACTAAAAAATCGTCTCGAACGATCACATTTCTTCACATGCATGAGACTGAAACTTAAGTCAGTCAGAAGAACTTTAATTTCATCTTATATTTCCTGAATTTGCTGACATGTCCATTTCAGGTGGCCCGAGGACGTTTGAAAGGGAATTTTATTGTGCATAATTTTGCTTCAACATCACATTTTCGCCGACGTCAGATAATTTTGGTTTTTTTTCTTTGCTCTTCAAGGAAGAAGATCAACAGTGAAAAATTTGATGAAACAGACAATATTGATTCTCTCCACAAAACGACTTGACTCGTCGTCGTCTTCAACCTGATGAAACATATTTAAAAATTATTGATTTTTTATTAGCTTTACTGGAATCGATTGTGAACTGATTTTTGAAAAGCAAAAGTTATCTTCAAATAAATTCCACAACGTATTTCTTTCTTTTATCGTTATAAGCCATTTTGTGGTGGTCAAGCATGTCTTTTTTTATGGCATAGACACAGATTGTGGTTACTGCCAAAATATGCAAAAATTATGGTGTGTGCAACATAAAAATATTAAGGGATTACAAGAGGGTTACACATGGGATATATTATTAAAAAATATGTGTTATTGTTATTGTGAGATGGTCAAGCTTGCAGAGATAAAGGATGCCTCGAAGGAGAATAGTTCGAGGGCTAGAGTGACAATTTTCAGGAAATAATCGTGAAACATTATGGGCGGTTTTGCTTCACATTTACTCGATTTATTAAGGGTTAAATAAAAGTTCTTCGGGCACATAATATTCTTGATATTTCTGCTAACTAAATATAGCCTTGGTGACAATTTACATTCAAGATTTTCAAAGTTCATTGACTTAATTTTCAATTTTCTCGCTAAAGTTGCAAATAAATTTATTCAGTGTATGCTTAAAACATGCACTTTAATCAAACAGAGCGTAATAGTTGTGATGCGATCGTCATTTATTTTTCGTTAGCTCAGCTAAAAATCAGATTGACTACGAATAACTGTATAAAATGAAAAATATTTCAATTTAAATTTTAATTAGCTATCAGCTCCATCGCGCGTTTCAAAATAGAGCAATCACAAAGCGCAAAATCTAAGATAAGCAGCTGAAATGAAAATATATGATTCGATTAAACTTTTCTTACTCGTACTCTGATTTTCACCCCGGACAATTCAAGTGCTGGGAAAATCTATGATATCAAGACAACAACAACATAACAAACAAACAAATTTTCCCCTCAGAAAAGGAAAAATTATTATTGTTGCTTCTTAGGAAACAAAACCACGCCTACAACAAATGATTGAAGTGTTTCTTCATGCCCAGAGTAATTTGAAGAGAAAATCTCAACTTTTTTGACTGATTTCAGATTTCATGACAATTTAATTACATTTCGAAACATTCAAGAAAATTTCTCGACTATCAAAAAGCAGACAAATCTTAATTTTATTTTAAAGAAAATTATTTCATCCTTAAATGTAACTAAAAAATTCTTCCTTTTTATTTTAAATGAGAGTAAAAGAATGTGCATTAAACGTTACAACGCTAATCATGTTTTCATGTGTCAGCTAACATAATGTGTCAACCCTCAAATCTTCAATGCCATGCACTTGTCATTGTTCACTCAATTATAGTGACCTACAATGCAATTAGTGTCACTCAAGCTCAATTGGAAAGAGACCAGGAAGAAATTTAAACTTCAAGAAAGAAAATTGCGCAAAAGAACTGTCGTTTGTAACTTGACACCTTTGTCTGTTTCTCTTGAAACTTTTACAACGACTTTCAAGAACATTTTCTTTCGAAATTGTCATAATTACTAAGTTGAGATTGCTTCATAGAGTATGGAGGTATTTCTGAGACATAAAAATGTGTTGTTGAGGCTCAATGATCAATTTCCGGCGCCTGAAAACTAAACAAAAACTTATCATTCAATCTATTCAAGCATCGCATTTTGATCTTTCACAAACATTCTTCATGAAATCTTTGATAAACTTATGAGCTGTATATGTAAGTCAGAACGTTCGAAATAAGACAACAAGCAAAATACTTCAATCTGATACTAACGTAAACAATACCATGTAGAAAATTTAATGCGACAATAAAAGAAGAACAATAAAACAGACACAAGCATTCGGGATTAGATTGTTTACATTTCATCGAAAGAATACTAATTCTGCTGCTTTCCATGATGGTGTTTTTGATAAGAGTCTAGTATGCTTCTCATGTTCATCATAGCAAAACAACACTTTTTACGACAAATTTCATCAAGATTTGATTTCAAGAGTCGTTTTGACTGTAACCAGATTCAGAATTTCAACATGTGAAAAATATTTTTATTATGCCTTTAACTTAAACATTTGATATCTGAGTGCGATAATCATTCATAATATTTTCGTTGTCTTACAACGTTAGAAAAAAGTTTTCAATTCCTCAATAAAATCATTTTTTTATCTGCAAAACTCAAAAGTTATAAACAAAATTATTTACTCGTAAATTACTTCAACAATTTCATTTTTATTTCTTACCATTTGAGATTTTACATTTAAATCATTTCATGAAAAATATTTACACACTTTTTTATGATTGTTGATGGTTTTTTGACAATGAGAGAAATGATGAATATCCAAAAATGAAATGATAAGCTAACAACGTCTATTAAAAAGTTCAACTCATAGTCTGGTAACCTTTTAAATGTATCTAAGAAACTAAATATTTATAATATTAATATATTAATTAACACAACCATATCATCAACATAAGTTTTTCAAGTTATGAACTTAAAACAAAAATGTTTAATAGCTAAGTATTGTATAATTTTTTGATGATTGCAATTGCAATAGTTCAAAGAGTCGCTGATAAAATTATAACTTTGTAAAGTTGATATTGAACTTGGATCAGTTAATCAGTTTTCAGTTGGAGGCTTCAATTTACAAAGAAGAACAATGACATTGTGAAGAAGATTTATTTTTACTCCTTTGAAATTTAATTCAAGATTTTATTGACGGCTACATTCGAGATTCGGACGATTTGAAAGTAATTTCGCACCGCGAAGTCTTATTAGAAGTTTAGAAATTTAATCCATCGTCAGAATCTCAAACATTCTTTTATTTATACAAAGTTTAATGTTTCAATTGATTTGTGGGAGTCTCTCTTATGAAATCTGAGCTTTGTGATCAGCTTCTCAACTGGCAAATTATTTCTTATTTTACTTTGCGCGCGAATCTTTGCAATTGCAAGGCTTTTTCATTCATTCCTAATGCTTCGATTTAAACGAAGAACAAAAAATGTTTTCTTTATGAGAATGTTGCATAATATGTTTTCAAAACAGCCGCCAATTATATTTATAAGAAAAAAAAGTTTTTTTCTTTTAGAAAACAATGAAAAAGCGTGAATTTTTGTAAATGAAAATAAAATTAATCAAGTTACCTAATGAAAAGCTTTTTGTGCGACGAACTAAATGTTTGAACTTAAATTTTCTTTTTCTCGCACACGGAAGACAGATTTCTTTTTACAGAAGATAACTTAAAGAAAGATTATAAAAAATGAGTGTTATGTCTCTGATAATAAATTGTAAAAATTGTTTAGTATCGTCCAACCCACGGCGGTGGTTGCTGTTGTCGATCCAGCTGCCTCTGACGTCAGAGATAAAACTCGGGTGACGAATGACCGTCGGAATGCAAATCTTGTTGTCCATTACGTGTTGGATTATTTTGTGTTGGCGCTGTAGTTCCACCACTCGCTTGATGCATCAATCGCTGCTTGAGTTGATCGCGTTCCTGTGAAATGCGGACTAAATCCATTTGTATCTTTTTCAATTCGTTATGCAAATTACGATTGGTGATTTCCAGGTCATGACGTTGTTGAAGTCTTTTGCTGCGACAATTTTGAGCGTATCCACGGTTTTTCAATGTTCGTCTTTTCTGTTTCAATCTTACAACTTCTTCCCTTGGACATCCATGCAAACGTTTATTCAATTCACGAACGGTAAGTGTCATCAACAAGTCATCATTTATCAAATCATCAGCATTACGACCGCAAATCGGGCCACTGTAACTGCTTGCGTTACTGCTATTGCTGCTTGTACTTTCACCACGATTATTGTTCATATGATGCATTGAACTATTATGATGTGACAGACGTGGTGACAATGTCGATGCTGATGATCCCACTGAATGTGGACGATTTGAAGGCCCATGACAACTGACTGGTCCAGGTGTCGGACCATGATGATGATGATGATGATGACTATGCAAAGACGGTTGATGGACATTCAATGATTCAAGATGCTGTAAATGATTGTATTGCATGGCATAAGATGCTGCTGAATTGTTTGGGTTCAATCCATTGCTGATTCCACCAGTTGATACGAATGGCGATTGACCATTTAACGATGATTGAATAAACTCTTTTCGATCCCACTCACCTTCTTGCATCATCGCATAATTTAATGGACGCAGATCCAAGGGCTGTTCACCACGTGTAATCGCTGCTGGAAGAAACATCATGTCATCACAAAGTCCACTTGGTTGACGATAATAAGCGGAATAATTTTGTGTGAGTGTTGGATTTGGTGAACCAACAGGAGGTGTTTCTGGTGGCGTTGAAGGGGCACCATTTACCGCCGGGGATATTATGACAGGTTGTCCATGAGTGGGTGGATGTGGATAAGTGTCAACTGTTGTAGGCGATATGGGAATAACTTTCCTTTCATCATGATGATACCAAACAGCTGGGCTGTTATTTAATGATTTAACCCTGATTGGTGGAAGATTATTGTTGTCTTCAGCAACGGGAACAGGTGGATTTGGCCAGATTTTTGTATTTGGCGGTGTCGATTCTTCCCTTTTAACATTCTGTGATTGTGCTTGCGCTTGAGCTTGTGCTTGCGCTTGTGCTTGTGCTAATGCTTGAGCCTGAGCTTGGGCTTCGTCATCCAAGTGACTCAACACAAATTCTTGCACATATTCATCAGCTAAGTGTTGTTCGTCCATGTTTTATATTTTTTTTTGTAATATTTTGTACACAAAATTACTTAATGAAAAACAAAAACGATGAAAACCGAAAACTTTGCAATATTTTCCGGTATAAAATTGTACTTGAAAATGAAACGGATAAAACGTCTCAAACGTCTCTGATTATTTTTCCACTAAATGGCACAATAAAGTCAGAACAATTTTTATTTTCTTTAAACTTTTATGACTTAATCCTCTTAAAATTCCCGGGTCATAATAAACATTTTTTGAGCAATTTTCATATTAATTAAATATCCTTGAATTAAACCTCAGGACATTGCCACTTTATAATCCTTAAAAATCTCTTTTTTATTTTCTTTTATTTTCTTTCAGTCCATCTGATAAGCGCACAAAAAATGAAAACGAACTTTATGCAAACGCGACTTGTCGTTAAATGACAACGATTCTTTCCATTCGCTTCATGGGGATCGACGATATAGGATTTTTCTAGTCTTGTTCATGTTATTTCACGCTCACATGCACAGCGATGTGAAGTTAAGATGGCTTTCAAGTGGGGGAGCGAATGAATGTAGTTAAATTGTGCTCCAATTAAATGTATTGCCTCGACCAACTGACGATTTTTTCCCCTTCGTTACAAGAACACTCCCACACTTCACCCTTCCGCTCGACTTGAACGTAACATCGTGTGAAGGATTTTTTGCCACTGGAAATGAAATGAGTGCGCGCATGACGCTTGGAAGCTGTCAGTTGATAAGGAAACAAAATCAGAACAAAACTTGCTATTGGAAACTATTTTTATTACTTAAATAGATGTTTATTGTTGCGATTCAGGAAATTCATTTACAATTGACATTTAAATTATTATTTAGCATCTAAGTAAGAATATTGCAACAATTAATTATGTATTTACATAATTAACAGAGATTAGAACTATAATTAACGTATTGAAACTTTAAATTGTTCAGAATTTCTTTCTCATTATCAAATCAATTTGTTATGCCACATCAAATAATAAATGAAATAAAATAGACAAAATTTAGATTGAGAACATAATGCAAAGTTCATGTTATTAAAATTTCAATTTATTGAAAATCCACCAATTCTGCATTGTTCAGCGATTTTAAATGAAAAATTTTCGTGCAAATACAAAATATAATGAAAGAAAAGAAGAAGAAATAAAATGTTTGAGAAAACCTGCATTGAAAACAAATTTCTTTTAAATTTGCTGATGGCGATGAGGTGTTGTTTGGTATGCCAGGACATTGCCATCATGTTCTAGTTTTCTTACAAAGTCTACTGTAAAGTTCATAACGTTTTGAGGTTTACTTTTGATGAGACATTGAATGTAGTCTTGGAGAGTGACTTCTGGATGAGAATTTTGGGAATCTTCACATTTTTCATGTTTCTTGTTCTTTTCTTCCGTTTTAAAGTCCAAATACATCGACACAAGTTGAAGATCTTTCTCCCAGTCGTCGCTTATGTTTCTTTGAGAACCTGACTTGTTAAATAAAGAATGAGGATGGAAGATTAAAGGCGATGAACATGACATGCTATTGATAATTCTTCCATTTCCATTTCCAGCGAGATGAAATGAAGCCGAAGTGAAAACTTGTTCATTGAATGGAATTATTTTAAGATCAACTTGTTGTGTCTCAACCTTCTGATCTGATATTACCGCGATTTGTATCTTTCTAAAAGTTTGAATAACAATCGCAAAGTTTCCTTCCATATCACAATCCCAGCTATGAATGCATCCCTCAAACAATTCTCTTGTTAAATGTCTAATAAGTAAAACTGTCGCACCAAAACAGAGAAAATCTCCTGTTTTCTTCCACTCGACATTACTTCTCCAATATTCAGTCTTCTCATCTTCAGTCTTTGATTTAATCAATCGGAAAGATCCATTCTCAATCGGAAAGATGTTTAAAACTTTCTCCTAAGAATAAAAATTGATAAAAATAAAAAATTTAGTCATAAGTTCATTTAAGATCAACAACCATAAATTTTCCTTTAAAAGATGTTCTTTCAATTCTTTTTTCATGAATTAATTGCAATGAATTATTGACGACTGACAACACTTCAATCGAAATGTTTCCGTTATCTTTAATATGTTGAAGTGTCGCATAAACCATTAAATTTCCATCTTCAAGTTGTTCAACCACCACGCAAGCGCTTCCCATTGTTTCAAGATCATTGTCATCAGTAGAAAGAACGATTTCAGGTTTTATATTTGCATGCCAGCATGACATTTGTTTGCTTATTAGAAACGTTTCATAGAAGCAAAGACTTTCGATGTTTTCAAGTGGCAGTGAAATTTTATTCCCTATAGGAACAGGAATCACTTCAAAGCAATTTTGAGAGTTTTCTTCTTTTCTCGATAAATTTTTGTTGAAGTTTTGTTCAATGACAATCTGATCTGAATTTTGTTCCTCAACATGGTTTGAATTTTCTTCGTCTAAATCATCCAAATATTCAGCACAAACAGGAAAATCTGATCTTTCTCGTGACATTTAATTTGAAATTTCTTTTTAATTTGTTTCCAATAAACTTTTTATTTTGACAACGAAAAGCTTTTTAAGGATTTGAATGTAATCTAAGTTGTCATGGCGTTCGAGTCCCTTTGAATAATAGACAAGTTCCTTGGGGACATTTAAAAAAATAATAATCGAAGCTGTTTGATCGATTTGAAAGTTCTGAGTATTGATTGCTCTTGATCAATTTCAATTTCAATTCATTTAAGATGAGTGGAATGTCCGTCATTGGAAGGAATGAGAAACAAGTAAAAAAATCTTGAAGCTTAACACAAAACAATTCTAATAGAATCCTTTACAGTATCGAGTTAGTTCAGCATTTGATGATTTTGACGATATTTATTCAGCTGAACGTGGCTTCAAGCCTCGTGAATGCAAAATTGAAGTCGAAGAAACAGTTCGCGAACCAGATCCTTATCATCCCAAAATTCAAAGTTTGTTATACGAATCCAAAGATTCATCATTACAACCACCAAATCCAGGAGCTTATGACTGGAAATTAAAACCAGAAGAATATGAACTTCAAACGAATCCTATTGGATTGCCAGAAGAGAAGCCACCATGCTACTTGCCACAAGAAAATGATGATCACATTGTGGTTCCTTCAGCTCAATCACAAATGGGTCCAATTGGCCCATATGCGACAGGAAGAGTCGACTGGAGTCCTTTGGCTGGTTTAACTGGAACACGCCCAGTTGTTGATTCTTATTCAATAACTCGTTACAGTACAAATGAATGGCGTCAAAGAAATTACGAAACATTACAAGCAGCATCAGATGCAATTGATAAAAGCCTTTTGTAAGGAAAATTCTAATTTTTTATTTATTTTTTAAATGTTTTCTTCTTTTCATAGAGTAGAGAAATCAGCAAAGAATTCAATCAGAAGAGCATACGAGATTACAGATCACAATCAATCAGATAACACAAAGCGACTTCAGATTCGTTCAAAGGATATCGATGACTGGAAACAATGCTTGGAACGAGCTATTCGTGCAATGACTGATGAGATTTGTACACTTGAAGAACAACGAAGAAGATTGAAACAAGCTATGAATGTTTTACAAATGCCGGAATCAATTGTTAGTGAATGCTTAGCAACAAGAACACGACGACCGGAATCAGAACTCGTTAGAGATGAGCCTGAAGAACAATTGATTAAAGAGAAAGCTCTCATCGCTGAGATTCGAGTGCTTTTAATTCAAACACTTGCTGACATTGAAGCACAACAAAGAGAAAATCGTACAAACAAAACACGATTGGAGTTTGATTGGTCAGATAAGAAAGATGCGCATGAAATAGAATCGCGGAATTCTCAATTAAACAATCGAGCTCCTGCAATTATGTTCAAGCCTGGAGCGACAAGATTTATGGCTCAGTACTTGACGATTTTCCTTTCAAAGAATCTTTAATTGATTTTAATTTGTTTCAGACAATCGACAGAAATTCTATGGGAAAAATATACCGTCGATAATTTAGAAGAAGCAGAGAAATGTCGTCAAAAATCAATCGCACTACGATCAACGTTAGATGCGATTCTCATGAATTCAGCAAGGGATTTGCGAACACAAGCTGATACTGTCGACAGAGCATTACACAACAGAGTTATTTGTATGGATGAGATGCGACAACGTCTTGAAAATGAACTGCGCACTGTGAGTTTTGATGCTTGTTAAATTGATTAAGCATTCTGATATTTTGTTTTTATTTCTAGTGCTTAAGACGACTTGCAGATACAGAAATACAAATTGAGAAACTTCAAGTGTCGATAGAAAACATGGATTTTCCTATGAAAGTCTCACAAACTCGTCTTGACAATCGTCATCGAAGATTGCGCGTAGAGAATTGTCGAGATGAATCACAATTTGCTCTTATTGGAGAAGTTAAATCAGTTCATGATTCTCTAACCGTTTTGAACGATGAATTGAGAACATGCCAAGAAATGAAAAAGGATTTGACGAATCAACGAGGAAATTTGGAGCGTGAAATTATGTTGAAACGTCGAACCATAAACATTGATCGAGAACGTATTCAAGTTTTGCGGACTCATTTTCCGAGTACGACAGCTTTGACGGGATATTGAACAGTTCCATTAATCCACTTACCTAAGTAGTAATCAATTATTTTCATTTACATATTACGGGAACCATTCTACAAAATACCTAGGTAATTCTTAAGTTAAATCGCAATCATTATCAATAAAACATTAAACAATTTTATACCTTTAATTATTGATGAAAAGCTGCCATCCCATCCACGATATAAACCTGAATGTAAAGTAAACAGGCAGCAATGTAAGCGCAAGAAGCACGTAGTATGTAAAATCTTCGGTCATTTTCGTTAAATTGAAATAATTTGCAGTAAAATGATTTTCAAAAATTATCAAAATTGTAAACAAACATTTGAATGTGTGCGTGAGAGTTAAAAATTGTTCTTAAATGATTCTGAGGAGTAAGATTATCAAGAAAATTATGCAACTTCAGAGTTATGATGCTTTTAAGAAGGAAAAGGATTGAAAATAAAGATAAAAGCCGCTATAAAATTAATAATTCTTCATTTAATTCATTTAAATTACTTAAATTATTCAACCATAATAATTAACGGCAAATGAAAATTTGAAATGTGTTAAAAGGTAAGTTGAAACAACCTCGCTTAAAGACTTTAGGTTTTGCAAAACATTCTGTGAAGAATCAATCTGCTGCCATCTGCAGAAGAAAAATGTTGTGATTAGTTTTAATTAAAATTAAAAAGTAAGATGAATAAAAGTTTAAATCCTAACTCAGCTTCAGGGTCAGCTACAGGGAACCCGCGTAATAAAACAGCTCTGAAACCTGGGTTTTCTTTAGTGGGATGGATAAGGCTGGGAAGTTCTGGGGAAGATTTAACAGGATTAAAAGGAAAAAATATCCCCGTGTCCCATCAAGAATTAGCAAAACATAACAAAATAAATGATTGTTGGATGGCAGTGAGGGGAAAAGTATATAATGTTACCAGATATCTCGAATATCATCCTGGTGGGAGTGATCAACTTATGAGAGGAGCGGGAAAAGACGCGACAAGTCTTTTCGATGAATATCATGCGTGGGTGAATATCGATCAGTTACTTTCAAAATGCTATGTTGGACCCCTAAGAAACACCGTGACCTTAAATTTAAAAGATTCATCATCAAACATGGATATTCGTTCACGTTTATCTCCGCCTTCATCCGGTTTAAAGTTTCCTTCGCTTTTATCAGTCAGCTCTGAAGCGCTCAGCAAAATTGGAGTTCTAGAAAAACCCGAATCACCAATAAAAGTTCAAGCAGTTGAGATAATTCCACGTTTTGATTGGATTCAGTCAACATCTGAAATGACGATTTTTTTCTACACCAAAGGATTTTGCAATCCTGGAGTTTACATTGAATACTGTTGTGATAAAGAAAGCAAAATCAAAATTTTCATTTCAAACACCAGTAATACGTACAAATTCACCTTTTTAAAATCACTAAAATGGCCTTGTACTCTGAAGATTAATCACGAGACTGGTATGTATCTTTCATTAGAATCGTTAGTTCTCTAGGTTGAAATGGTAATAAATTTCATTATTTTATGACACAGGGAAAATTGAAATCATATTCATGAAAACAGTTCCTGCATTGTGGTCGAGTTTCGGTATTTTTGAGAGAACTCGTACAAAAGAAGAAACAATTTATAGCGAATATATTATTAAAAGAAAGGAATACTTTAATGATGATTCTTTCGAGTTAATACTTCGGCCTAAAAAACAAGCCTTGCTTAATGTTCCCATTGGATTTCATCTAAACTTTCAACATAATAACGCTGGTAAATTTTTATACAATTAAAATTGTGAATAAAATTTTAAAATATTTTATTCCAGGCAACACTGTCATAAGAAGCTATACACCAATTCCTATAAATAATTCCAATCAATCTGATACACATCAATCCGACATTCTCTTCCTTATAAAGTCTTATGCAAATGGATCAATGACAAGATTTCTTAATCAAAAATCAATCGATGAAGAAATTTTTGTGTCTGAACCGAAAGGAAATTTAGATTTAAATGTGTTGAAAAATCATGTAAAAATTGCAATAATGGCAGCTGGTTCTGGCATCACTCCTATGATTTCTGTCTTAGATCATTTACTTAAAGGCAGCACTCCTCGAAAGTAAGATTTAGACATTTTAGATTTCGATCGATAATTTTATTTCATTAATATTGCAGTGACGCAGTAAAGTTTTATTTATTCAACAAAACTTCATCAGATATTTGGTTAAGGAAACAATTGGAACAAATACAAGAAAAGGATAATAGATTTTCAATAACGCATATCCTTTCTGAACCTGCAGACACATGGACGGGTGAAAAAGGTCGTGTCACAAGAGAAATTGTACAACAAATTGCACAATCATCACAGTTTGTATTTATTTGTGGCCCAGCAATATTTACTGAATTAGCAGTTCAATACTTAAAAGAATACCAAATAGAAATGCACTGTTTTCAGGGCTAAAATGATATTTATGCTATTAAATAATATTGTTAAGCATATTGGTGTCTACACAGAAAAAAAACTAATAAAATTAACGGCCATATTTTAAAATTTTGCATCATTTTTGCTTCATTTCATACGTGCCCCTCGTGGTTTTCTCTGGTGATTTTTCAATAAAACTTTTAAAACAATTTTCATGGTACAGTGAAATAAACAAAAGTGTATAGTTCAATACTTAGGTAAATAGTAAAGCAGTAACAAAAGTTACATCAAATTTTGCTCATAAATTCAACGAAACAATAAAAATGAAAAAAATTGCTTCTTATCAAAATTCTCCATAATCGTAGCAGTTATTGGCTGTGTTGGGTGGATTCATATCACAGTCTCTCATTTGAAAACTTGCAAAGAGTTTAACTTTATTTTTAAATGAATTTTCTTTAGATATTGTAGCATATTTTTATTTACAGGAATTCCGCTTTGGATTTTTCCGGAAGTTTATCGCAATTAATAAAAAATGATAGGTGGATTATTTGTATACAATCACAAGGGTGAAGTTCTTATCTCTCGTGTATATCGCGATGATATTGGAAGAAATGCTGTTGATGCTTTTCGTGTAAATGTTATTCATGCTCGTCAGCAAGTTCGGTCACCTGTAACGAACATTGCCCGAACGAGCTTCTTTCATATAAAGGTAAATTAAGATTTAAAAATTAATTGGAATATTACTTATTCATTGATTTCACAGAGAGCCAACATCTGGCTTGCAGCAGTGACGAAACAGAATGTAAATGCTGCTATGGTTTTCGAGTTTCTTCTCAAAATTATTGACGTCATGCAATCGTACTTTGGAAAGATCTCTGAAGAAAATATTAAAAACAATTTTGTGCTCATTTATGAATTGTTAGATGGTAAGCAGAAAAATTTAATGAAATTTAAATGCAAAGCTTAATCGTGACATTATTTCTAGAAATTCTCGATTTCGGTTATCCACAAAATTCTGATACCGGCGTACTCAAGACGTTTATTACTCAACAAGGCATCAAGTCAGCGACTAAAGAAGAGCAAGCTCAAATCACGTCGCAAGTCACTGGTCAAATTGGATGGCGCCGAGAAGGCATTAAATATCGTCGTAATGAACTATTCCTTGACGTTCTTGAATATGTTAACTTATTGATGAGTCCTCAGGGACAAGTTTTGTCTGCTCATGTCGCTGGAAAAGTCGTTATGAAATCGTTCTTGTCTGGTAAGAATTTTAAGACTTTTAAAATCTAGTTGATGGTGACTTTCAAATATTTTCAGGAATGCCGGAATGCAAGTTCGGTATCAACGATAAAATCGTTATGGAAGCAAAAGGCGGTCGTGGTGGAATATCAGGAAACGCTGAAGCTGAAACATCACGTTCAGGAAAGCCGGTTGTTGTAATCGATGACTGTCAATTCCACCAATGTGTAAAACTAAGCAAATTTGAAACAGAACATTCGATAAGTTTTATTCCACCTGATGGTGAATTTGAGTTGATGCGTTATCGCACCACAAAAGATATTTCTTTGCCATTCCGTGTCATTCCATTGGTACGTGAAGTAGGACGTACAAAAATGGAAGTCAAAGTTGTTTTGAAGTCGAACTTCAAGCCGTCACTTTTAGGACAAAAAATTGAAGTTAAAATTCCAACACCGCTCAACACATCTGGCGTGCAACTGATTTGCTTGAAAGGAAAAGCAAAATATAAAGCGTCAGAAAATGCGATCGTATGGAAGATTAAACGAATGGCGGGAATGAAAGAAACGCAATTGTCTGCGGAGATTGAACTTCTTGAAACTGACACGAAAAAGAAGTGGACTCGTCCACCAATTTCTATGAACTTTGAAGTTCCGTTTGCACCATCAGGCTTTAAGGTAAATAAAATAAAGTTAAATTTATTAAATTTATTAATTAATTTAATATTTAAATTAAGGTTCGTTATCTAAAAGTTTTTGAACCTAAACTCAACTACTCTGATCATGATGTCATTAAATGGGTTCGTTATATTGGACGCAGTGGACTCTACGAAACGAGATGCTAAACATTCTTTTCTTATTATTCATTCTAATAAAATTTAATGACATTATTAAATAGAAAAGATGGAAAGAAATTTGGCAGTCAAGTTTACATCATAATCACTTTATGCATTCGTTTATTCTCTATTATTATAATGTTTAATCGAAAAAGAAAACTGAGGACATTTGGTTGAGACAATTTTTGGTTTTCTTAATTGCAAATATTCATAAAAAGATGTTTCAAAATATTTTATGAAACCCGAATGGTAAATAATAGCAAATAACATTGATAGCACGAGTTGTTCGGAGAAATCTCTTTAATGTTAAGTAAAATTATATCTATTGTATTATGATAATAATGCTTCAAAGTTAAAGTAATAAAGTTGTATCAGTATATAAATTTATGTGTTTTGAGATTTATAAAGCTTTGTTTCAGTTCGTTCTTGGTTCTTGAATGTGCTGATGCTTCAGTTTTCTTTAATTGCTTAATAATCATATCAATTGTTCTCTCATCTTCCCTTTCAACTCATTAATCATTCCTTTATGTAAACATTTCTTAAATTCAAAACATTCTCATGTTCAACATAACGTTTAATTTTTCTTAACATGCAACATTTACACAAATTCTTTAATCCATTTCATTGAAAAAGTCGTCATCAGTAACAAAATATTCAATCAACCGCCTATCACTGATTACCCTTATTATTCAATCTATAATCTTATTAATTTGTTTTTCCAAGAATATAAGAAGATTTCACAACAAAAGCCTTGATATAAAAGAAACTTTTACCGGGTGAATTGATGATTTAATTGTGAAATTTCGTAAACCATAAGATAAACTTTTCTTTTTAATTTTCTTTTAAATAAATAAATTAAAGATTTTCAAGTTTGTTTACAAATAAGAAGTAGAATAAAATTTATTAAAGAAAACTGATTTTGAAGATAAACTTTTCGTAAGATTTTTCACAATCTTCGTTTTCTTTCTCGACATGCGTAGCTTTGGAAATCTCATCTTCATTTCTCATAATACAACCGGAAACGTTTTATTATGTTTGAAATTATTTCATACCGTGATTGTTAATTGTTAGGAACAGTTGAACAAATATTCTTATCGAAAGTTGTTGAATTTTCTTGGTTTCATAAATTCATGTCAAATAATTAAACGAGTGAAAAACAGGAAAATTTAGTTTTGTTGAAAATATTCAAAATGTGAAGATTATCAGATTGTTGACAATTTTAAAATATTCCAAACGAAAGTTGTGTGAGAGACATAAAATGCAATATTAAATTGAACTTGTTAAAATGTGCAGAAATGAAAGTTTTAGTTATACAAACAGAATTAATTTAACCCAATATTGAGATAAAAGAAATTACTTAAAAATTGTGTAAGTATCAAGCATGAAATTCTTAAAAATATTTAACAAATATTAAGAAACAATTTTATTGTCATGCTTATTTCAGCGAAGAATTATTTATTATTAATATTTTTTTACATCTAAATTTGACCAGAAAGAAATCTTGAGTTCATTGATTTACCATGCGATACTAAATAAACAAACTGTCCATAGAACATTTGGAAACTTTTCTGTATTCCAAAACTTTTTTCTTTGCTAACTAAATAAATAATATTGTCGTTTAAGTTGTCATAGTCTGGAACATTTCTGGCAAAGTTTACAAATGTAAACTTATTAAAAATACACAAAAAAGAAAAATAAGAAAACAACCCTTAAAATTTTCATCAGATCCAAAACGAAAAATGTTTAAATTTAGAATTCAGATCCAAAATAAATAATTTGACATTTAGAATCAACAATTATCGTCTTTATTATCCAAATGACGTACATTCATTGATACCAGACAAAAATTCAAATTTTATTTAAACGATGGGAGGAAAAATTTCACCATAAAAATGTTCCCAAAAATTGTTAGCGAAAGCCCTTGAAGGTTTTAATAAAGTTCTAATTTGTCTTTACAAGATTTTCCTCTTAATTGTGGCTTTGTCTCCCAGCACATAATAAAGAAACAATTTTCTCAATAATTTATTAAGTTCAACAAGTGTTTGTTCTGTTTTTAGATTCTTGAGGAATTTGACTGAGTAAATGAAACCTTCGTGAGCTTTTCATGTGAAAATCTCATTGCTAAACAATTTCAGTCATATGAAGATTTATTTTCTTATTATTATGTTCAAGTTCATTGGATTGAGAAAGCGTTCCTCAACATAAGTCTCTTAATCGATGCTGTTATTAATATATTTTCGGTTTCAAAAGTTAAATTTAGACTTCTGCAAAACTTTTATTTAAACAGTAAGTTCGTGTTTATCTTCTTAAATGATTTAAATAAATATTTCATGGATTTCCGAACGCTCATACTTATGTACACTTTAATCAAAATTAATGATTCCATTCAAATATTTCACGAAATTTTTTCAGCATAATTGAAATGTTGGAGACGCTACAAAAGGAAATATTTATCTACGAAAAGCTATTTGTACAATGAACTTGAGAAAAGAAAGTTTCCAAGGATACCAAACGAAGAAAAATTCCAAAGACGTTTGCAAATTCTTTGTGGGCAAAGTTAAAATCCACAAGAAACATTAACAAAGTTGCAAAACTTAATTTCCAAACTGGCTTAATTCAAAGTGAAAGCAATTTTTCAGCATGAGAAGTGATAGAAACTCCCTAAAAATGTTCTAGGCATAATTTAATCTGTAAGAAAGTCATTCACTCATTCTTAAACCTTTCCAGACTTGTGAGTAAATATAAAAATCCATAAATTTTTTCTCTTTTCGGGATCATTCATTCAAGAAATCGTATCTTTATGTGTGGTTTTTCATAACCATTAAAACTTTATTTCAAAGTAATTAAATAATTATCATCCATCAAAATCTTTTCTCTATTCATCGAAGCAAGAAAGCTTCACCAAATCTTCCACAATGACACAAACAAAGCTTAAAGAAAATTCACTCAAAGTTTAAAACTCGGTAAATGATTTTCTATTTAAAAAAATTTGAAATTTCACATTAAATTCTGTTGTTGCTGTTTTCTTATTTGCATTTCGATTCGCTTGTGCTCAACAATAAAATCTTCGACTGTTATATTGAGCCTCATGATATTGTGCATGATAAACTCTTCCTCAATGTAAACATCTTTCGGTGACTTCAAAAGACTGAGAGTGTCACAGAGCTCCTTATTCGACTTTCGCACTTTATGTGAACTTAGACTTGCACCCACAATCACCAATGACACTTTGAATATAACTTTAATTCCTTCACACAAGAAACAATCCCAGACTCTTAAAAGAGTATCCCATTTGAGTGTTCTTGTCATTGCACAAAGATACCAATCGGTCATGAACATCAACGGCTCCACTTTTGATTTCACAAGATGACGATGTGCTTGAGGCGACGTCTTCTTGAGAAGAGCCATGAAGAGTTTTGCGTCTCGTTGAAGCATTTCCATGCCGGGTGTAAAGTAATCTTTCAAATATTTGTCACAAATACTGACAAAAGACCAGAACGCTTGTTCTGCAGGTAGATGCATAAGAAGGAATGCAGCAATCGGTGCTTGAGCCTGACAATAACCTGTTTTTGGGTTGAGAATGGAATAAGCTTTAAGAAGATTGAAAAGTTCTTTTTGACCCGGTCGGTCTTCGTCAAGAAACATTTCATGCATTGGAAATTGTCTGTGTTGATCTCGTCTTATCTCATCAATTATCTGTGGATCGCCTTCTTGCTCTAAGAGCTCTTCATATACATTGGGATGTGCGTCAAGTAGAGAACGTCCGCCTGAGAGATAAAACCAAGCCTTGGGGCGTATCGCTGATGGAATTCCTTTTCGACATCTGTCGCGAATCTTTTTGTAATTCTTATTCATATACTCTGACCTAAGGAAGGCAAGAAATTTTGTAAACAAATTGAAAACATTTTTGTTTCACTTTCTTACCAATGGTCTAGCATATGAAGCCACTTCTTTTCTCTTGCAAGAATTTGTGCCTTTGATAATGGCACTTTCGGTTTGTCTGAGAATTGTGTGCCGCCATAGAATCCATGACGATCTGGTCCCGTAGAAAAAGCACTCACAGTGGAGCTTAATGATATTGTATCTGAATGTTTTGAGTTGGGTAGCGAATGTGACGAAAGTGTCGAGGGAGATGTAGTTTTATACCTTAAAGACATGCTGACGTTTCAAATCGATTCAATGCCGAAAATAGAATCGAAAAAAAATCTGTGAAGACCAAAACTTCCTAAGACTGTTTCGTCATACTGTAAACAAACAAACGAGAGAGAAAAAGCCATTCATTGATTGTGTTTCATCAGTTACGATGTGTGAGGGGAGGAATTGTATTTGCGATATCTTTCATTGCGGGCAAAGATCAACAAGTTTATTAAATTATGCATTAAAAATTTACTTTAATTGAGACTTCTATTTTTGACGAAAACTCAGCACATTTTCGTTTAATTATCAAGTCTGAGAACGTTTTCTACGACCCATTTATGGAATACTGCTTAACTTGAATAGCAAACTTTTTTGATTTCGTCACAAACATTCAATTTTAATTAATTAAATTCTATATGTGACATCATTAAATAACAAGTTTCTTTACAGATCTTTGCATTTTTATATTGTAAAAATGTTTAACTGTGGGTGTAAACTAAACACTTTTTTTTCATCCGTCAAGCCAATTGAAATTTAATTTCATTGTTTTTCCATTCACATTTATGAAGCATTTTTTTTTCTCTTGTCATCTTTTTTGGTGAAACTTTTCTTACAAATTATGCTATTCTTTATGAATGCTTTCTGTGTTGATTTTTAGCTGAGCAGGCGCTTTTTTATAATTCCAAGATAATATATTCGACACTTGATACAAAGTTTCTATTTTAGTGCTATATCCATTACTTTTCATTTGAATGCAAATGTCTTATGTGATTCCAATAGGAATTTGGAACTGGCTTCGTTTTGTGTTTACATTTTCAATTTAAATCTTGCAAAATTTTATTTCTCACTTAAAATTGACTCAAAAAAAAGAGAAATCTTGTAAATACTACATAACTATAACAGATGATAATTAAAACTTTCAGAAGGTACGAAGCTAATTACTTGCTTTTATTACAAGGCTTACAAGTTACAATGTAAGATAAGATTTTATTTCATTGTTAAACAATCACACTTAGATGCTTACACTATTTGATACTTTTCAAAGGTTTTAATGTTGAATTCTTTAAAGTTCAGACTTTCTTTTACTGTTTATCGCTCACGATTTTCTTTTCTTTGAATAAAAAAATTAAAAACAAATGTTCTTAGTGAATGTTTATTAGAAGACCATTGAATACTGTCAGATTTGCTGTCAGATTCAAAGCGGTTAACCGATAAAAGATGCGAAAAATTTGAAATAACCGCCGTTATCTTCTCAAAGCTTTTAATAAGCTTTTCAAAAGTTGTAGGTGGTTCTTCACGATATTTCCATCTAGAATATTTAAAGATTTATATGATTATAATAAATTCTAGATATCTATAAATAGAATTTAGGCAACAAAATCCTGTTGGTGAATTTTCTTTTGTTTCTGATCCTATTTATCATCCCTCAAAATCGCATTTCTTCATCTTCATTTTTATCAGATACTTTTGAAGTTTTGAGTAAATATGTATAATCTAGTAAAATGTTTTGAGACTAAATTGGATAGAAAAGTTTCTTTTTATCATGTCAGTACTGTTCACATAGAAATCTGAGATTCTCTA